CCACTAGTGAACCATATTTGAGTTTATTTCACTTTCTTTGTTTTACACCTCATAATTAAACTCGAAGCCTTTATTTTTATTTTCCCTCTTTTTTCACACCTTTACTGAGACTTGAGATCTTGTATCACTCTTGTTCCACGAGAAAAAAAAAGTCAAAAAAAAAATGTTTATTGTTTCGAACGGCAAACAAAATGTTCATTGTTTTGAACAGAAAAAAAATGAAAAAAAAAGAAGGAAACAATTGCCTTTCATTTATTCTTTTTTCCTTGTTTTATTGTGTTTCATGTTAAGTTCGTGGATTGTTCCTAATTGTATTAATATCTTGTCTTGGTACTTAACCCTATCATCATGGCCTTTTCCCTACCCTAACCTAAGCCCCGTTACACCTTGTTTAAATACCCCTTGATTATTGCATTATGTTCATTTTTAATATTGGAGACTTGATTAGATTCCAAGCCTATGGTAATATTTTGGTTAATTTTGGTTTGAGCGATTTCATTTACCCCAAACACTTTGAGCATATATGTGTGCATCTTTGTTATATATTGAGTCATGATTCATTGAAATTGGCAATTAATTAGGATATCTTGCTTACTTTAAATTTTCTTAGTTGTGTCTTTACTTGATTGTAATTTGAATTCGGTAAATGTCATGGACTTAGTTCGATTGAAAGTTTGAGAAATAAATTGAACTTGAAGATGACAACTTATGATTTTGATGTATTAATTGATGAATGCTTGAGGACAAGTATTGAATAAGTGAGGGGGAATTTGATAAGTGTTTTATTTAGTTATTATTTTGCTTTTAAATTGCTCCGTAGTCATTGGTTTTTGTGGTTTATTTGCTCGTTTTGATTCATTTTCTGTGCAGGACGCTAGATTTTGGAAATTACACTAAAATGAGAGAATTCTGTAGTTTTTTTATTTTCGGAATCAAAGTTAGATTAGCGGGCATGACTTTGGGCATGAAACATATGACGAGGGGATGAAGCCAACACCTTCTAGAAGGTCCAGTCAACACTTCTAGAAAGTCCAGTCAACACTTCTAGAAGATCCAGTCAGCGCTTCTAGAATATCCAGTCAGCACCATCAGTCGAGGTAGCAATCATAACTGTATTTGAAAATAAGATTCTATGATTAAATTAATTTTTATTACTGCTTACATTAAACTGGTTGAAGATAACTAGGATGCTGCCGATCCACTTTGGAAAATAATTTTGTCACTTCAAATCCCACAGCATATCCATGCTTTCCTTTGGCTAGCTCTGATGGATCATCTCATGACTGATCGGGAATTCTATCGTCGTGGCCTATCCCTAAATCCACTTGTTCTCTTTTCAACACACATGTTCAAACTTTTGTCGTTAAGAAATTTATTTGGCTTGTGATCCGAACTGACTTTTCTCGTTAAGTTGGGGTTTAATCTCATCATGTATCATACCCTTTGGGCTCGTGTTTTGCGCTCTAAGTATAAAATGCTTGAAACTATTGTTGTGCATCTTGCTTCTCGGAATTGCTTTTTCATTTGGCGATCTCTGGCCCACGTTTCATTGCTCATCGGTAGCAATGTGTGCTGGTCTTTAAGGGATGGAAAACGCACTAGTTTCTGGTCCAAAGCTTGGATTTCAGAGATGAACCCCTTGCCGAGTTATTCCCCTCTGATCGCATCATCGACCCCATATGGTGGTGAGTGATTATACGAGTGATGATGGCAACTGGAACCTGCATCATTTGAGGCAGCATCTCGATGAAGATATCATCTGCAGAATCGTTGTGATCCATCCTCGCGACAGAATGGGTGAGAACTGAAAAGTGCTTTATTTAGTTATTATTTTATTTTTAAATTGCTCCGTAATCTTTGATTTTTGTGGTTTATTTGTTCGTTTTGATTCATTTTCTATACAAGACGCTAGATTTTAGAAATTACATTAAAAGAACAGAATTTTACAGTTTTTTTTATTTATTTTCGGAATAAAAGTTGGATTAGTAGCATAACTTTAGGCATGAAACATATGATGAGATGATGACATTAGTACCTTCTAGAAGGTCCAGTCAGCGCTTCTAGAAGAACGAATGAATCAGCCATATGTTTCTGCAATTCGGATTTGAATTAAACTCATGTTTTATGATATTACTTTAAATATTATATTATATTTTATCTTATCTTTGTTTTAGGTAGTTTAGTTTAAGTAGTTTTAAGTATTTTAATTCGGATTTATTTCTTTAAATTAGGATTTATTTTTACCTTGTTTTTAGGATTTTGAAGCTTATAAATACCCTCTCAGTGTAAGCATAGAAACATATCTCTCAACAACTGAGAATTTACTCTTCTTCTTCTCTCTAGCTTTATAAATTCTCTCTTCTATTTTCTTTCAAGTTTTCGAAATTTCTTTATTTTATTTTAAAGTTTTGTTTTTAAATAAGCTAAGTATGACTTTTATCAAGCTTAGTTAATTTTCTTTTAAGTCGAAGGCTGAAGCGAAGGCTCAATTCCAAACGTGAGAATCGTAAGATACTTAAATCGTTTCGGATTTTTCTCTTTGTTTTCTGGTCTTATTTTCAAATCAAAACGATTTTAAAAACCAAAAGTTGGCGTAGTTCTGGATGTTGTTATGGTTAACGTGGAAAAAAGGATAGACTTATTGAAGCACATTCAACTTCCTGTGAACACACTTAGCAAAATTGTTTGCTAAGAGGAAACTGAGATCGGAATCAGTTATTGTTGAAACAACATAATCCGAGTCAGCATCTTTTTGAACTTCAACGTTTTAAGATCTACAACATTGTTGTTGCTTAGATAAACTCACAAACTAAATTTAAGATTGCACTTGGATATTTGGTATATAAAGCATAGTCGAAAGGATTTGTTCTTGTAGAAAAGCAGCAGACGTGAATCTTGAAATAAAGATCTATTTCGAAGATCCAATGAATTTGAGGCCAAGTTGAAGTCTAAGGTTGTTATTACCATAAGTATTCTTTATCTCAATTTATTTATTTATTTAATTTTTATCTTATTATATTTTTTTAAATAATTTAAAAACTCACCCTTCTTATCTTTATCATTATCTTATAATTATTATTTATTATTTTATCATTTTATCATTATCTCTCATTTAAAACAATTTATATTTTATTATTTATTTTATTATTTTATTCTTATCTTTTTATCCTTATTTGTAATTATATCTTCTTCTAAATTAAAAAGTCCATTAAATCAGAAACCTAAAATTCCTTTTAGATCGATCCTGTTTTTCTATACTATTCTCACTTTTTACTTATTAAGAAGTCGAAATTATTTTGATAGCAAAATCACAGTTATGAAAGACTTACCAATATGGAGATGGGATTGTGTGCGATCTTGCACTATTAAGTCAACTTACTACTAACTTTACCGTGCTTCTTGGGATGATCACAATATTTGGAATATCCCTTGGGACTTTGATGGTCCCAAAGAGTTAAGAAATTTATTTGACTTGTGCTCCGAAATCGTTTAATGACGAATCACGAGCGATTTAGGCAAAAATTAACTTCGGATCACACTTAGCTGGTCTGTTGTAATGGTGATAAAACAATCTCACACGTTCTTCGGGAGTACTCCACTGCGCAGATGATCTGGTTCCAGCTGATGACGCATTCTCTTATCCATGATTTCTGCTCAACACCTCTGGTTGACTGGCTTAAAATCAATCTAAGCGTTAACTCTCTGCTTTATCATGCTGATTACCATTGGCGCAACTTTTTGGTATCCAGTATCCTTATTTGGAAAATCTGGAAACATTGTAAATGTTGTGTTTAATGGGCAGGTTTGTTCTTAAACCGATATCGTTCAATCGGCAAGATACTAAGCTCAATTGATTCGGAACTCACCTCATGGAGTTAATCAAAGTGGTAGCCGGTGTGTCAGAAGAAACCATTGGCATACTCCCAGGACTGGTGTGTTAAAACTCAATACGAATGAGGTGGTTTCTAAGGTTTCCAAAGAGGCAGATGGAGGAGGAGCCATGCGACACAGTATTGGAGGCTGGTTGATTGGTTTACACCGGAATATAGGGAGGTGCTCAACCATTCAAGCAGAGCTCCATGCTATGTTGGATGGCTTCTTGATGGCTTGGGATCAAGGAATCCGACATGTTGAGGTGGAGATCGGTGACAGTGAAGTGGTTAGGATTCTGAAAACTAGTTCCTAGGGATATGAGACAACTATCATCCGTAGATTCCGAAGCTTACTCCGGCTCCAATGGACAGTTGAATTCAGTCATATTCATAATCATTCGGATTACTCCAACTCCAATGGAAATCTAAACTCGGTCATATTCATAGAGAATCAAATGAAGTGACCGACTGGTTGTGTGGGGCTTATTATTTGAGGGAATTCAACATCTTCTTTCCAAAGTCATGGCTTACGGTTAGGGACGGAGCTATGTTTGGTCCAAAGGACTCTATCCCCGTAATAATATTTTGATTCATGTAAAAATATATATTTAAATTTAGAAAATATAAGAATCTATTAATTAAGTATGAGTCAAATTAAAGAAAATCACATGTTCTCAAATTTTTTGGTTTAATAATAATTTAAGTCATTGTAAGTTTAAATATTAAATAAATTAACATTATCTTATAAATTTTAAGTATAAATACCTAATGAGTGTTATATTTTTCTTAAAAATTTTAATTTTTTGACCCTACTAATATTTAATTCTATCTGTCCATTCTTGCGGTCATCCTGATTATTAATTTGCTTTGCAGCTTTTCCTTTTTTATAACAAAAAATAAAAAAAATAAAACAGATGCCGGGAAATTAGACACACACAATCTCCACCAAACTATCCATGGAACTTAGATTGTTGCGATGTATCTTGGAATTTTTTATATAAAAAAAATCTCTAAATTATATATATATATATATATATATTTATATATTATTCATCAACCTTTGATTAATTTCCATTTATGGCTATCAAAAAAATCTCTAATTATATATATATATATATTTATATATTATTCATCAACCTTTGATTAATTTCCATTTATGGCTATCAAATAGTATTTTATTTCCCTACAAACGGAACACAGAAAACATGTACGACATCTACAACCAAATTTGAATTCAGTAGAAACGATTAAGTACTTCTAAAATCTGCTATCAATTACCCACGACTCCAATCATCCTCACTGATCCTCACGTTCAGTCTTCTAAGCCAAACCGAGTGAAGTATCATGTGAAACACATCGAATTGCTTCGGCGGCGAATTGAACTCAAAATGCCTTCTCACTGCAACACTTGGGATCTCGTTGACCGAGACCACCACGGAAAACGATTTCCATCTCAAAACATCACTAAATGGCGGCACATAACTCTTTGAAATAAGCACCGGAACGCATCCGTTGTACAATGCCTCGACGATCCTCGGACTCGCAACTTCGTAGCCGCTCGGACAAATGCAATACTTGCTGTTTCTCATCATTTCATGGTAATTAACACCTCTTGGAAGGTATTTATGTACCTTAATGTCTTCATCCTTTCCTTCCCAATGCTCGAGTAGGATTGGTCTTATCGGACCATGAACCCCTCCTGCAAAGAATGCCAAGATACTTCGTCGAGAAGCAGATGGTCCACCGATCAAACCGGTTAGTTTATCGGTTAGGAGATTGATTTCCGGAATGGAGACATCCTTGACCGGGTTGAATCTTTCGGATGTGTTTGCATTACATAGAGCTCGAATGGAGTTCCTTTCTAGGTAAGGAAGTGAAAAGCTTGCTTCTGGCCCCTGCATATAAAACCATATAAAGCTCAAGCTCGAATCGAAATCAACTATGATCATGATGCTAAAACGATAAAAAAAAAAAAAACTTACCCAATCATGACAGGCAACCATGAAATGATCGGCACCGTGGCTCCGGTTCCAGTATGGGTATCTCTTCGCAACGAGATTGACGTAGTCGACGACGGTCCTTCGTATGGAACTAAAATCACGGGTTTCGCGCGAGTAAACGAATCGGACCATCTTTGCTACGCTGAAAGGGAGGTAAAAAACATGAGCTTTGAGGGGATCATTGGTTTGGAATTTGGAATCAACATCCATCTGGTAAATGAAATTTCCTTCCATGGAATAGATGCTCCTGCAAGGACCATCATGAAACACTGGAGGCTCCCCTTCTTTGTAAACAAAGACCTTGAATTGTTTCTCCATTTCCAGGTAGCTCCTATAAATTACAAAGATTTGACAATAAACCATATGATATTGCTCTTGAAGCATTTTCAGACTTATATTGAAACTGAAGAATTCACATCCTACACTGTGCATGCTTATATATAGGGGGACAAAATCCAATTACACAATGTAAAACTTTTTAATTTTAAATAGATTTAAGATCGTTAACAAGTAGATTAACTCCTTTTTAATTTATATATATATATATATTAGATAATTTGCTACATTAATTTGAAGACAATAATTCGCAAAAGAAACGAAGTTAATTGAAAACAAATCAAATAACTTGATCAACCGTCAATAGATCAGTGACCCACTCAATCTGACCCGGTATATATATAATTTAAATAGTTAAATAAATGTATTTTTCAAATTTAGTTTCATGAACATGACTATAGTATGAAATTATATTTTATTATTTTCAAACAAATTCATACTTTAACCGGGCCGGTTCAGGTGTGAAATTTTAGGATTGGGCCTTGGCTCGGTGTTTAATTTCTTATTCTGTATTATTTCATTTGCCAGTGGGCATTATATACCCCAAACTATGACTAGTTGGAATTTATTTCCAAATTATAACTCCCATTTTAAGTTAGGGTCAGTTAGGTATAGTTTTTGAAAAGTAATTTTTAACAGTAATATAGGAACGAACTCTTAAAAGTGTTGTACAAAAATGCTTGATCGGAATTAATATTAAAAATCGAGTTTGAAAAAAATATCTATTATATACATTATGTTATAAATTAAAAATATAATATTTAAATTTTATTTTAAATTTTTTGTAAATCTTTAATATTCCAAATTCATCTCCAAATTTCCATTTATTAATAAAAAAATTCATTATTTTAATAATTTATTAAGTTACAATAATTTTAAATACTCCTAACCATTTGACAATGAACATTCAATCACCCCTACTACAGTCGCTAGCGCTTGAACCAACGATCTCTAAAAACAACAATGATTCATTTCACCACTAAGGTAAGTTGATTCGTGCTAATAAACTCGTTGTAAAAATTATTAATTGCCACATTAAAATCAAATAAAATAATTAACTAACTTTGAAACGTAAAAGTAACTACAAAAAATTTTGAGAACAAAAAAATTCAAAGATTATTTTAATCATACTCTAGATAATAACTTCGAGGAACATGATATAACATTAATTATCATTTATATAATATCACATATTACATATTTATTAATTGAAGACGTGATTAGTATTCTTTAAAGATAAAATAGAATATACCAAAGTTTAAGAATTAATTTAAAAATATATATAATTTAAAATAAAATTAGAAATATGAAGTACTATGAAAATCAATTGAATTCGGTATAATTAACACCATTATCACGGGCTGCCCATTTCACAGCCAGCTTTGTGTTATTTTGATGGGACCTAAATAAGCGTCTTGTCATTTGTCAAAGTAGTACGCCCACCTTTCAATACTGTTTAGTTTTGGTTTTATTTAGGTTTTCCGTAAGAGAGACCCAAATTCTTAAGCAAATCACTCTGATAGGCTTTGATTCTTAAGCACCCTAACCACAAGGACCATTGCTAAATTTTAATTAATGACCTGTCCTGCATTTCTCTATTTTGTTATTTTTCTGAAATCAAGTCATTTTCTTTATCTTGACTATGTATGTCCTCTTGTGTGTGTTGTAGAGTAAGAGGCAAAAGGAGGATACCTGTGAAAGGCCTTGGCGTCCCTATACATGGGACCTGTTGGGACATAGTCAGTATCTTGTAATTGGCTCCCATTCTTCGCTTCTTTTATGGCCGATCGAGCCCTTTGTAAACCAGCTTCAAGTCTATCTAATCTGCTTCTAACTCTTCTGCTTTGTTTCAAGGGGAGAGCTGTCGTTTCATTTACCCATAACATCGTACCATTCAACCCGTCTTCCTTTGTTTCATTCTGCACACAATTAACCCAATACAATTTTTTTTTTATTAATGATTATAAGGTAATATTTATTTAATAGACTTCCATTATTTGCCGATAAGCATTCAAATATCCCTAGATGTTGTGTTCCAACCCATAATTTCTAGAATCCATATAAGATACTTTACTTTCTCATATGGACCAAAAGGAAGAAGTTTGATGACTATGGAGTTTTTAACAGTGATTTGTTTTATGATTAATCCCGAAGATATACGGCAGCAGGCAAGATAATATGCTGACAATGACAAGCATTATACAGGGAATCTAACAATGACAATTTTAAAGAACATGGAAAAGGGTAAAAGAGAAGAAATTAACCACTCACTTCTCGAGTTTTCGTCACCGCTTCAAAAGCATGTGGCGGCGAGGCCTCTTCCGACGGTGCTGCCGCTTTTACCGGGCTGCTTCCAGCATCCACCGCCGTGGAAAGCAATCCCACTGGTTCTTCAGCGGGCGGAACTGCACCGGGCTTCTCGCTGCTATTAGAGGTGGAAGAAGGGAGGGTGGAGATGAGATCCCAGGTGGAGTTTCTCGGGACCAGAACAAAAACAACTAATGATGCCAGAATCACCGGAGCTAGAAAGAACAAAAGCTTGGGTGGTGTTGAGAAACAACATGCAAACCGATTTGTGGCCATCTCCCGAGTTTGTCGAAAGGAATTTCACGATGTCTTAAGGGTTCGCATCAGAATCACTGGGAAAATGGATGGGTTCGGGAAAGAGGGGGACGGGGGGTTTTGTTGTTTTGTGTTAGTGAAGAAACAGGTGGACAGACGACATACCAATTGCCAAGCGTCATCTTTATTCCAGTTTCCTTCATGCAATTTTTCATTCCCATTCCACCCTTCTCTAATCACCGATTCCCTATTTAATTCGCCTGGTTCCTGCTTTCTCTTTTGACTTCGACATGATCATCTGGGGGTCTGTTACTTACTACTACATTTGTAATGGGTTTTTGTTAATAAACGTTTTTAGACTTTGTTATTTTCTTAATTTTTTTTTTATAGAAATCCCATAAAGATTCCTTCGTTTGAAGTGTATTGGGAATGTCTGTGGGTTAATTATGGAAGTTTGGTTTGCTTACCACTTATGAAGAAAATAGAGTTAATTGAAACGCATGCGTTTTTGGAATATCTGGTAATGGGTAAGTGGCTACAAATTAACGTATGCTCTCCCAAATGTTTTAAATGCAAATCTCGGTGGCCGCTGCTTCAACGTTAAATCCACACGGATAAAGTATGATTTTATTATAATTAGGCCGGATCAAGCGAAGTCGAATCGAATAAAAAAACTTGAAATTATTTGAGTCAATGAATTATATTTTATAGCTTAAGCTTTATTAAAAAAACTCGATTCTAGTTTATAAATTTCTTATTCAATCGAATTATTTGAGTTTCTACTGAAATTTAATTATAAATATTTATAATTGCGATACTATTTGATTTTAATTTAAATATTTATAAATATGATATATTTTTTCATATGTGATATACATATATAATACAGAATTGAGAGATTCAACTCAAATGTGAAAGTTAATCCACTAATTATTAAAATTTAAATTCCTTTGAGTCGAATTTATGAAATTAAGAGTCATATCAAATAAAATCGAATTAAAAAACTGATTTTTTTTTCGAATCAAGTTCAATTCTCCCCTTGCTTACAACCTCTCAAACAGATGAACGTGTGAAATAAATTAATTTATTTTGGTTCGGAAACTTGTACAATGAGTTGAATAAATTAATAAATCGGTGAAATGGTTATGGTTTTGTTTGTTAATAATTGCATTTTGGTTTGTAAATTTCCTGATTCGAAGCTATCTAAAAGTGTGGATTTGTACAAATGAGTACAAATGTGGGAGACATGTCCACCAAAGCTGAAAGTTCGTGTTGGCATCTCTTGCTTGATTTAGCACCAAATCACATGTTATGTTTGTGTTTCCATTCCCATGTGCTTTGAATTTCAATACAAAAAAATGAGATTTGATTTTGCAATTTCAATTGCCCAGGACTTGGAACATTGTTGTTTTTGGTAATTGTTCAAATCTTCCAAACCGCAGAGTTGTAAATAACAAATATAAATTGAACAGCAATAGACTATAGAGGCAGCTTTTATTAATGAACCGGAGGAACATGGTGTTTCCCATTAATGCATTGTCTCTTCACAAACTAGGAATTACCACTAAACTTTTAAAATTTATATTTTGGTCACTAACTAAAATTTTGAGGTATTGCATAAGCATTCCCTATTGAAGTTGTTGCTGGTGGGACTTGGTTTGCCTAAAAAACAATAAATAGATTGCATTGTCATCTAACTATTAAATTAAAGCAAAAGAATTGAAAAACCAAATTGAACTTACATTGTATTGGGTCTTTAATGGACAAGTACTTAAATTGTATCCGGTCTGCCCACAAACTCTACAATTCATTTTCATTCCAGTATGTCTCATCTTATTTCAATGTTGATGCTAGTGTTTTTGCTTTTCAGTTCACCTTTTCTCTTTTCCTTTTATGCTTTGGTCTTAATGGCATTTTTCTTTTAAAATGTGGATCAATCTTGGGCATTTGTGTGTTTTTCAAATACTTTTGAATTAGAATACTAGGAAAAACAACACTTTACAATGCTTGATAAATCTCAGTTTTATACAGACTAAATACATATGATTCCAATTGTTCTTCCCTATAGAATATTACACACACATCATGAGGGCATGGTATTCCCGTGAGATCTCACACTCTACAAGTGCGTTTCAAGCCCCTAACATCAACTAAAAATGTAAAACTTCATATCCTTTAACCCTATTCTAGATGGCATGGTAGGCAAAACTCAATTTCTTATGTTCTTTTAATTTTTTTTTTTTTTTGCAATACTAGGACATAGGTCACCATTCCACCTAAGTGACTTCTTTTTGTGATCAACAACTATATGTATCACATAGTGCCTAATATCCTCTAACATAGAAATTATTTACTTAAATCTAGCCCAGAATATGGTAGAATTGAAAGCTTCTGAAAAATTATTGTCTACAACGTCACACTTTGATTTGGTACTAAAAAATGCTTTAGACCAATATCTAGGATGCCTAACCATCATATCATTATATGCAGTTTTTTTATCTTACCAATTCTATTAACATTGTGTTCAAAAATAACTTCTGTTGTAGCCTTGCAACAAGCCAAAAAAATAATTGAAGATCACCTTCTTTGTGACTTTTTTTCCAGTTGGCATAAATATGCCTAGCATAGAATCTATGCTCCACGTTTGGTAAACACAGAGGGACCTCTTCTAGCAAGCCCTACAAAAGAAGAAATAGAAGTAATCAATACAAACAATGTAAATGTTGGGCACCTAATATGGAAATAAATATTAAAGTTTGGACACCAAACTGGAACCAAGACAAAGGTTAGACATCAAACTAGAACCGAGATAAAGGTTGGGCACCAAATTGGAAAACAATTTAAATTTAAAAAAGAACTATGAAAGTTTTTACCTTCTACATGTCACTGAACAATGTCACATTCTCACAATCTCCTAGATTCAAATCAGTCTAAAGGTTTTTTAGAAACCATGCCCAAGTCTCCATGTTTTCCACCTCAACCACATCCCAAGCAATAGGAAATTTCTGATTGTTGTTGTCTCTTCCATAGTAGACAGAAGTACAGCTTGGAATCCACCTTTCAAATAACATCCATCTAATCCTAAAACAGTCCTACAATACTTCTTAAAACATCCCTTCAAAGCACTAAAACAAACATATAGCCTCATAAATTTGGGATTCTCAACAGAAATGGGTTTAACAACCACTAAATCAAAAGTACCCTCTTTGGATCAACAGTCCTCAATACATTCACATAGTCATGCAATCTAATAAATTCATGTTCAATACTACCCCTAGTTGTTGTATTACCTACCTCCTAACTCCCGTGCAACATTATTTGTTTAAATCCACATGCAACTTTTCTCTACTATGCCTCATCATACCTCTCAGTTTCAAATTAGGAAGAATACAAAGCTTCCCAAGAAAATGTTTTCCTATCAACTCATAATTAGCTATTTGATTCTTAAATATCATAGAACACTGGTGTTCAGTTACTAGAATTTTAATTGTAAAAAACCATATCTCCAGAGGCATATATCATAAATGGACACCCTTTACTCTTACATACAACCCTAATTTTTTATTTCTCATCCCCTCCCCACTCGGGTGCTTTCAGAGCCCGATGAGAGAATGCGATAGCTAATCTTAAGAGGGGTAGTTCATTTACCGATTAGAGATCATGCTCTTTAAGTTTCTTTGTTGAAGATAGATGGGTTGACTTGTTTGTTTATCTTGTATTCTAATTCACATGTTATCCGTTATTCTCTTGCTTGTGGCCTACTTTTCTAGTAAGAATTCTTTTTGTCTACATATTATTCTCGCTACTACAAAAATAACTTAAGAGATGTTCTTATCAATATTGATTCTCCTATGCTTCAGTAGCTATCCTTCTTTCTGTCTCTGCTATTGGATGTCATAGGTTAGCTTGCGGATTGGTCTTTATTGTATACTAGCTTCAGTGGGAATAATAAAGTGTTTGTTAAATACTTGAAATCAAACCTATGAGCTATTGCATAAGCAGACAAAGTATCATTTTAACTATTTATGATTTTCAAAAATCGTGCCAAATTAAATCTAGGTTCAACATTTGAATAATCAAAGAACAACTTACCATTCTTCTTAAATACAAAACCCCATTTGAATCAGTCTCATATATTCCAACATCTTAAGAATGCAGGTAAGCAATATCCTCCCCACTGTTTGCACCTCCTAAATCTGTTGAACAGCTACTCCCTAAAGTTGCCTCATTTCCTTTTATTGAGCCCAAACCAGTTCTAATGTTTTGACTTAGTAAATCTTCCTCATTTATTTTTATTGAGCCCAAACAAGTACCTTCTTCCTCATGGTCTACTGCACCCAGATCTACATTTCCAGAATCTTCATTACGCTCCCTAACACCTAAATTAACAGCAACTTCTAAGTCTGATGCAGTGACAATGCTATTTTTTTATCTTTCTTTTCACTAACTTAAAGTTCTTTCTAATGGAAGTTATCTCATCATCATCATCATCATCATCATCAGATAAAGGACAATATCCACCTACCTCTCCACTCTCCTCTTGGGTATCATAATTCAAGTCATTACTCTCTTCATCTCTTAACCCATCAATGCCAACATGCCCAATGCCAGCATTTTCACTACTCTTGGAAGTCATATTCTTAATTTGGATAACCTAAAAATATCAATATAGGTAACAGTTAATAAACAGAATAATTTAATTTAACAGATTCCTAACATGTTCTGGTCAAACTAATATTTAACAAACAAAATCAAATAACCACAAGTCAAATAACCAATATTCATTATATCTGTCACAAACCAAATAACCAATATGCATTATATATGCCATTAACAAACCAAACTACAATATTTTTAACAGTTAATAAATATGTTATGGTAAAACTTAAATTCATTAATATTCTTTAACACAAAGTACAAGATCTGTTACTTATTTAAATATTATTTATATATACTTTAATCAAATATTTTAATATTTAAAAAAATATGTAGAAGGAGATAAAAAAATTTACCTTTATTGATCAAATTCAGAATCAACAACACCAAAAGTGTTTTACCTTTATGCATCCTTCAAAAGTTACAATGTAAAAATCAAAATATTCTACTTAGTATTAAAATCTAAGGAATTAATAACATTTACTTACCATTAAAATCAAACATTTGTTGATCAAATTCAAAATGAACAGCAATCAACTTTATGTATCATTTTTGAGTCTCTTCTCTTCTTTTGAATTATTTGCGTCAATTATTGAGGTGTGACTAAGGAAAGTGGTTGGTGGGGGAATACTGAAGCCATTCGAAGGGCCACAAGAGTTTTGGACATTTTTTACACGTGATTACGTAGTACGCGTCCAATGTTTTTACTCGCAAGTGCATTTTTTATTTTTTTTTTATTTTTTATGATTTAATATAATATCCATCTTGTTTTTTTATTTGACTA